GAATTCCCCACGGAGGTGCCCGTCTCCTCCTCTTATCTCTCCCTCTCGCCTCAGGAGATGAAAGGAAACGTTTTTCTCCCTGAGTCTGGCCTTCATAATTCCATTCCATCACAGTATGGGCTAAGCAGTCCGATTATCCACAAAAATTCTGGGTTCACAGAAAGGCTTTCCACTCCCAGTGGCAGAACTGTTTTGATTTGTGAATGAGGATACAACAACCAAGCAAGTCTCAAAAGTTTCAAAACAGAAGGCTAGGGAGGTAGAAGGCAAGGCTTGCTCATGTGTGTGCCCGTGTGCAGCATACATGCCCCAAGGCTGAAATGAGAGCTAGAAAGATGGCTTTCATTTGTGCCTGAACTGAGCCTTGATATTTTCAATACCAAACTTTTAATGTTAGAGTATGAAATAACACCAGATTTGACATGACCCTGAGGAAGTAGAAAATGCATCTTTTTTCACTACTTATAAGCTTATCTTGAATTCAACATTTAGTTTGCACACACATACACATAAAACGGTCGTGCTTCTTTTTCTGAAAATTAAGCACTGGCTGGAAGAAGTCCTCCTGAACAGTGAAGAGGAGGAAAAATGGGCATCAGAGAAAAAGCATAGGAAGAAAAAAAGTTGGAAGAATAATAAAGTGCACATGAACACAGACTGGAGAAGGAAGAAGGGTTACTGTAATTCACAGTACTTTGAAAGTAACTTACCAAATCTTTGGCTGCAGGCCAAATATTTAAGTAACAATGGCAGCCACTGCATAGTTAGGAGTACAGCAAGTATTGTTTCCTGCTGTGCAGCAGAAAACCTTTTGTCACTCCTTACATATTTTTTAAAAACAGCAGTTAAAATGAGGGACTTGTTCTTTCCATACACCATTTGGATTACCCATCCTGAGGTATTTAATTAGTGTGATTTACTTCTAATCTCTTCTTTTCTCTACAGGTTTTGCATGCAGAAGAGTGTGAGACTGGTACCAGGAGTAACGCTGGACTTAATAGAAAAGTAAGCATTATTTTGAGACTTGAAAACTATCCTTCACTTTTTTTTTTATTTGATTTAAATCTGCTGAATCGTGTAAATTTCACCATATTTACATATAGTGTAATTTCCATGGGAAGTTCTTCTCTTCAGCTGTTAGAACATGCATTTATCTCTAGGGTTCATTGTGATTACAAGGTTGAAGGGTGTTCTTGGCCTCAAAGTATAGTCCAGAAATGTGATGCCTTCTAGATCCTTTCCAATAAAAAACAGGAATGTAAGCCAAAGTAATCTGGTCATTCTAAATGCATCAAGAGATCTACAACATTTCTGCAGCAAAGCAATGTTTTGTAGTCATTTCGTAATTGTGATCATGCTTGTAACCTGATTTTTAGGTGTTCCAACAACCCATTTATAAGCTTCTTCATTCTAATTTTGAAACTTGCTAAATTTACTTTGTCTTACGTTCTGAATATATGCTAAAAGAATCAAAACCTTGTAAATAGAATTTCATCATTAAATTTTGTAAAAGCTTACTTCTTGGCAGAAAACAAGTTTATTGGAACTTGATCTAAGAGTCAAGGCAATATGAGATACCTTAGGGATGGATATAATGGCAATTTGCTATGCATACAATGAACAGAGCAAAGGCATGTTACCAAAAAAAATGATATACACTGGAAAGGAACAAAAGGCAATTGAATTTCTGCTCTGTAGCTATTCAAATGTAGTCTTTTAGATAGAAAGATAGATAGGTAGATTTTTTAAAAGGAAGATAAAAAGTAATACAAGCTAATATAATGTAAGAAAAAGAAAAGAAGAAGAAAGAAATCAAAGAGAAAGCTAAAAGTTCAAGGAAGGAAAAAAAAGTAAAAGCAAAATAGAAAAGAAAGAAAAAAGATACAGAAAAGTAGCTTCCGATCTTCTTTACAGCAGTTATAAGTACAATTATAAATTTACCTCTTACTCTATGCTTGTAACATAACTCTCTTCTTTCAAAACCATTAAATATCATCAAAACCATAAATCATAAGCATCTTTTTCTGTTTTTTGCAAAAAGTCCATAAGGGGTTTCCAATCAGCAATAAACATAGATATTGTCTTTTCTCTGATCAAAGAAGTCAATTTAGCCATCTCAGCAAGTTCTATCATCTTCACCAACCATTCCTCCATTGTGGGTGTACCAAATCTATCCATCTTTGTGCATACAATAATCTTGCTGCAGTCAAATGTGGTCTTTTCCACCCTCCTTATTGTTGCAACTGATTTATTTGTTCACATTTTTAAACTACTGTTTGTTAAGGAATATTAGAATGATGTTACAATTATAATTATAGTGAATGCAATAAAATGTAGAAGAAAAAAACTAGAACAATAAAAATGCTTAAACCCATTTAAATAATGAATAAACAGTAATTAGCTCAACAAATAAAATCAGAAGAAAGTCTGGAAGTTTCAGTTTCCAATTTAAAACAACATATTAGAGGTCAACCTAATTCTTATTAGAAGTGTATTCCACAAAGTGGGGCTGTTTTAGAGATTGCCTCTTTCTGTACCACAGGTAACTATATATCAGCAGATTGCAATATGGTTCATCAGACATCCTCTCCCTTTAACTAAATATTAAATAGATCATATGGAAATAGAAGGATCCTTGGATAATTAACAAGATGATTAACAACATCTTAGGCAATGGAATGGAGCTACTTAGATAGCTCTTTTCACAGGTATTTTACATCACTAAGCAACAGTCTGTAAAACACTCTATTTGGAGCCATTCATAGTGTGTGCTATAATAATCCAGTATCAATGCATGAACTATTCTGATAAGACTGTCCAGGAAAGGTATCAATATGAAGGAAGGTATCCAGTGGGTTACCCCAGGGTTCTATCCTGGGCCCAATGCTCTTCAGCATTTTTGTAAATGACTTACACAAGAGGATAGAAAGGATGCTCATCAGATTTGCAGGCAACACAAAGCTTGGAGGATTGCTAACACTTCAAAGAACAGGTTCAAAAAGATCTTCAGGATCTTGATGGATTTGAACATGGAGCCCTATCCAACAATATGCAGTTCAGTGGTGAGAAATGTGGGTTCTGCCTGCGCTTAGGTAGGAAAAACAGATGCACAAGTAAAGGATAGGTGGTTTCTGACTCAGCAGTATACTTGTGAGAAGTATCTTAGAGTCCCAACAGACCACAGATTAAGTATGAGCCAGCATACATGAGTTTGCTGCAGCTGCCAAAAGAGCCAATGCAGTCTTGGGCTGCATCAACAGAGGTACAGTGTCAGAGTCATGGGAAATGCTAGTTCGACTCTATGCTGCACTGGTCGGACCACATATGGTATACTGTGTCCATTTCTGGTTGCTATCATACTGTTCAAGAAGGATGCTGAGGAACTGGAAAGAATGCAAAGAAAAATTGAAAAATGGTAAGGGGCTTGGAGGCTAAATCCTGTGAAGGACAGTTAAAGGAACTGGGTATGTTTGCATAAAGAAGAGAAGGCTAAGGGGAGTCATGACAACAGTCTTCTAATATTTGAAGGCTGACACAGAGAAGAGGGTGTGGATTTATTTTCCATAGTGCTGGTAGAAGGAAGTTTTACAGAAGGAGCTCCAAACTTGAAACAAGAAGGAACTTCTTGATCGTGAGGGGTATTAAGCAATGGAGCAGCAGCCTGCCTCCTGGACTTGTAGGTGCTCCATCACTGGAGATTTTCAAGAAAAGACTGGACTGTGATTTATCTGGGGTAATATGAAGGTTCCTGCTTTGGACATGGGGTTGGACTAGATGACCTCCAAAATATCTTACAACCTTAACGATTCTGTGATTATAGCTGTTATACCAGCTGAAGATGGTAATTGTTGATCTTGATCAATCAAGTTACTTGGGTCTTCAGTGACAGAAATAAATCCATGATAACCCCTAGAATACAAGTATCCCTCAAAATATGGTGCAAAATAACATTTATCATTCATAAATGAGGCCTAGCAAAAATTACTTTTCATTGGGTAAGTTAAACATTTCTAATAAAAGCTGGTAGAAGAGAGTTAAAATGGATGACAATCCTTACTGGTTTTTTATCTATAAATTTAGAAGGATCTATATTTTTTGGTTAATGAATAAGTACAAGGGAATCTTCTTATATTAAGACAATTCTAAAGCTTCTGCTTATCAAGGTAGAAGAGAGTTTGCATTAGATGTTCACATTGCGAATAGTAAAACATAAATTGATGTTGGTTGGAAAGTGATGTTGCATCATTTATCTCCCACCCAATCTTTCTAGGCAATGTAAAACAGATATTAGCAGTCTGGCAGGTGTTAAATAAAGAGATGGTGCAGTGTTTGTGCTTTATGAAAAATTTGCATTGACAAGAGTTATGTTGCTGACATTGCGGCATGTCTGCAGTTGAATATGCACTGACAGAGCATGGCGTTGCTGCAGCCCAAATGAAGTGCACTGAAATAGATAGTGGTGTGGGTTGCATCTCTGCAGCACTGCAGACTCAAAGTTTGTACTATGTCTATTTAAGCAATGACTTAAGTAATGACTTTCTTTAGCCACTGCAGTCATTTTGTCTTAGGTCTAAAATACTTCCCGCATAATGAGGATCTGCCAAAAACCCATGAAGAGATAAACTAAACTTGTTTTCCATTTTTCTGGTACATTAGTTCTTTTTAAAATATAAAATAACATTTTCTTTTATATCTGGAAACCTTCCATTTGAGTTGTGCATTATTGTAAGTGCACTTCCAGTGAAGGGCAAGTTGATAAATATATATTTTCTTCTTAAAAATATGGCTCTGCTGATGCAACCCAAATATAAGTATTAAAAAGTCAAGCAAACTTTCCTCAGCATGAATTTTTCAAGTGCTCTGAAATAAGCTTTTTTGTTTAATGAATTTTCAATCCCCCTCCCTATAATGTTGTTTTGTACCTAAGTACAACTTAGTGGGAGCAATTAATAAGAAATAATTTGATTTCCAAGATGCCTTTCCTTGAGATACATTCTGTTCAAGTTCAGTTGGAAGAACAAGCTGTGGACTCATTTAGATTTCCAGTGTGCCTGTTCACAGCAATTAGCAATTGTCATCCATCAAGTAAAAATTGTATAATAATGAAGCCTAAATACATTATAATTGTACTGAATAGATATGCATGTACAGGTATATATTCATGATTGAAATACTTTGTTAAGAAATCCTGGAATGCTTAGTTACAGATTCTTTTGCAGTGCTGTTTAGCTCTGGCAAACTAGCATAGTTGTGATAGAATACTTACAGAAAATAACTAAGATTAAGTCCCAAGTCCTAGCAGCCAGCTCCAGTCTTCCAAAACTCAGTAACTTCAACAGTAATAGGTAAATAAATGTGTAAATAAATAAATCTAAATAAATAAAGACATCAGGTGTGGGGATGGCTAACCCCTTAGAGGCCTGGCGTTTGCTGCTCTGAACCATCGGCCTCCTCCAAGTCCTAGCAGCCAGCTCCAGTCTTCCAAACCTCAGTAACTTCAACAGCAATCGGTAATTAAATGAGTAAATAAATAAATCTAAATAAATAAAGACATCAGGTGTGGGGATGGCTAACCCCTTAGAGGCCTGGCGTTTGCTGCTCTGAACCATCGGCCTCCTGGACTCTTTCTTTTTTAGTAATTGTTTTGTACAGGTTTTAGGTTTTCTGTAATTGTATTTTTATTTATTGTTTTAACGAGTTGTGAGCCACCCGGAGTCCCCCATTAGGGGGAGATGGGCGGGGATAAATTAAATAAATCAATAAATAAGAACTACAACATGAAAAGCAACTACCCCATCCTAATAAATTTGTGTTGTAGTTCTTGTTTTCCATCATCTAACACTATCTTGTCAATGCTGTCATCAAATTAAAAATTTGCCACAAATTGAACGAGCAACTTACACATCACATAAACTTTTTATTACTTGTGTGAAACTGGAATGCTTTGGTGAAAAATTGGCATTTATATTACTGTACCTGGTTTTGTGATTAAAAACCTACAGAAC